TGTAGCGTGTGTGTGTGTGTGTGTGTGTGTGTGTGTGTGTGTGTGTGTGTGTGTGTGTGTGTGTGTGTGTGTGTGTGTGTGTGTGTGTAGTCATGAACGTGAGAGCCCCGTCCTATACTCTCATTCCTGAGTGCGACCCCACACCTCCTGACCTGTACGCCAGTCAACACCCTTCGTGTCAGAGCCTGTCTGACCTTCACAGCCCACGCCGTGACCCCTAAGCCTCCTTTGTGCCCTCCCACTCAATTCAACACCGGCCGCGACCCCCACCTCACACTTCACGACCTGGGGGGGGGAGGTACGCAAGGGGGAGAAGATCCCTAGAGGGTGAGAAAATCAGCGAGTTCAATACCTTCGGTGGGGATGTAGTTGAGAGGCCCCGGTTCCTCTGGGAACGCCGAGCTGACCGCTTGGAGCAGCCAACACAGCAGGAAGAAGGGAGGGGCCGCGGTCGCCATGGCAACACAAAGGCGAAGTCTGTGGAAAAGACGAAAAAAAGGAATTTGTATTTTTCATAAATGACACAAAGGAGCGAGACACACATAAACATTTTTAACTCACTCCATCTCTGACTAATTAAATAAATGGATGTTGTTTTCTGACTGAAGCTTTATCTTTGCATTCCCTCAGCATCTCTATCTCTTCGCCCGGAGAGAAAAAGCAGCTCCGAGCGAGGGATTAAGTGTCCACTCAGCGGTGGATTCAGCCAGATCGCTGTGGCACAACATGACCACACCAAACTTCACACCATCTATGACACATCTGAGAAAAATGAGAAGGAGGCAAAGGGGCCAACATCTCGGGCTAGACAGAGGGCAGTATATGGCCCATAGATGAATGGAAAATCTGTATAGGCATCGAGGGAGTGAAAGGCTCAATACATCAAGCATCATTCAGGATATGAAAGAGGCTGGTGGGAAGTGGTGGTTTGCTAAAATTAAATGATTGCTGGTGACGCAAATCACCTCTCTGACGGCGGGGTTGAACTGTCTGTATTTTTATATCGGGCGGTACGGGACATGCAGGTCTGCAGGAAGTGATTCATGTGGAAATACAAATGATAGCCAAATTAAGTTACCCTACACGATCCATCTAGAAAATGTACTCGGAGGAGAAAGGCTTGTGCTGTCAATTTGAGCCGCAAACCTCAGAAGGCATGACTGGCTGCCGGTCTGCTACGTCTGCACGCTCTTACTGCAATTTTGTGTGGTGGAACACAATGTGCATCCAACAGGCGCTTTTATCCAAGTTGTTATTATCCTGAGCTCTGACTCATCTGTAATTACCTATCAATATTTCTCTTTCCATGCGAGCCAGGTATGGAATTGTGTTTTGTCAGCAAAAAATTCACAAACATATTTAGCTAAATCCTATAACTCGATTTTCCTCTTGCTGGCGGTTTAACACTGAACGCAACATCCAGGATAATTTGTTTTGAAAATCAAGTGGAGGAGCTTACATCGCCACTGCTGTAAACACAAAGCATTTCTTTCATGTCATGCACAATTGCCACATCTCGTATTTGGATACTCAAGGTTGGATTTCTTTATGCAAAACTGCTCTGCATTTTAATGTGGTCACAGATGCACAGTGTGTAAAACAATGCAAAAACAACAACACAGGAATATAAAGTAGCCACTATGCCGCCTTTCATTTCTGTGTGTCAGTCTTTATTTTTCACAGACTCTTTTCAAGTCTTTCTGAGTTCATTTCAAACTGAACTGTGTTGTGAATTCAAGAGCTGTACTGGCAAAGATTGAGTATGTCATGTTGTGTATTGTAACCGATTTAATGTTGAAACCATAGACTGTATATGGGTCGTAACAGAAGAAAAAAAAAGTCCTAAGAGTTGCCACACATTTAGAAAGACACTATTGTGTAAAATGTCATTGAATACTTTGGCAACATTAACTCTAACTTTAAATAACAAGCAGCAACTACTGCCCCAAACACAATATGTCATAATGATTAATGCTTAAACATAGGCTAGTTTAACAGTTGGATAAGTCATTAAAACAGGGAACTGACTTTAATCTCTTCTATAAACAAAAATCTAAATATTGTTTATACCCAATCATCTGCGTCACTTAGCTAAAATGTAACTATTTACAGCTTGTCATATTAGACAAAGTAATGCTAATGAGGCAAACAACCTGAGTGTCCTGAACTGTGTGAGGGAGAGTTTTATTGATTATAATTAATTATTGTAAGGGAAGCAATGTCTTATCTTAAGTTTACATAGCTGGAACTAGAAATAATGGATCTTGCTCAAACAATCCAAGCCCAGAAGCAGTAACCATAACTGGGTTTTAAAATACTTATGGCTATATGGTTTTACTTATAAGCAACATAGTAAAATATGTTAATTAACTAGAGTGATTAACATATCAGGTTTATCTTAATCCTAAAATTAAGAACAGAAGAAACTTCAACAGACATAGAACAAAATGCTGCCTTTCTCTATGCAGGTTCATGGAAACCCTTTACGTCTGTCAGCCTCTCTTTCTCCCTCTCTCTCTGTCTCTCTCTCTCTCTCTCTCTCTCTCTCCACAGAAGGGTACAAACAGCCATTGTGCAGCCCATCTCTTTAATGGAGTCTCAGACATAACCTTATCAGGACACATCATCTTTATGGGACATTTCTCACATTCCCTGCGCTGACATCAGAACCAAAGTGGGAGGCGTGCTAATTACTCAACACCCACAAGCCAATTTATAGGAGGTGAAGGAGAAAAAGTCCCCACGAGAAGAAAAGGAGGTCACGGGGTAAAGAGAGGGTGAGATGAAGTGAGAGATAAGTGAGAAAGAGTAAGAGAGAAGAAGATGAAGTCGGGAAGTCACTATATCCAATCACAGATTCTATTGTTTCTGCTATTAATAATGTATGAATAAATGTCAGGCGGTACGCATTCGATTAGCATAATTAGACACCCTGGGCTATACAATTTCATGGGACAGCAGAATAAGTAGATACACAAGTAGAAAAGTGTGTGTGTGTGTGTGTGTGTGTGTGTGTGTGTGTGTGTGTGTGTGTGTGTGTGTGTGTGTGTGTGTGTGTGTGTGTGTGTGTGTGTGTGTGTCCGCAAATGGTTCAGAGCCAAAGCATCTCTGTAATTATGACAAATGGACGTAGCCGAGTCCATTCAGGAGCCTCGCTGCCTGGCTCAAGCTTTAGTAATACGCCATTATCATTGAACGAGGCATACTGCAAGTCACATATACATTTTGCCATTTGGAGGAGACACTAATACAAAATATCCAACCCCAGGGTGCTACAGCGCTCCGTGTACGAAATTGAAATGGTGGTAGATGTCACGGAAGTCATATTGAAGATGGCACACTGTGAGGGCTTAAGAAACATTAAAACACTATGCTGTCAGTAGCATATTACTGTGGCACTTATTTCACCGGGGGGGACTATTGTTTTCGGTGTTGTGACAAACATATTCAGGGATTGAGCTTGTTTTTTTGGTGCCATCCCAACAGTCTCATTTGTGTGCCGAGTCAATGCATTTATATTTATTTATATATTCGATACACATGGTAAGTGACGATAGGGAAAGATAAATGCAAGGGATAGCCAGCGGAGGGAAACTTTAGTCGGAGCTTTAAAACACCATCAACTCTAACTGTCTTTTAGTTACTATTAATGAAACGGGACTCCAGAACCCACCGCCAAGCTCCATTTACTTCACATTTATTTAAACAACCTTGTTAATTTGACTGGTTCCACAGCACCAGAACATTTTAATTATGGGTGTTTAGGCAATATGTATATATGTTTATATATATATGGTAAGTGACGACAGAGGGGGGGGGGGAAAGGGAGCAGTAGCTGGTCAGTGAAACTGGTCTGAAACTCTATCGTTTTTACACTATTAATGAAACAGGACCCCTGAACTCACCACTATACACCATTTTAACAACCTTGTTAAGTAGTCTGTTTCCTCAGCACCAAATCAATTTGATGACGGTTCTTTAGGCAAATATACCTATAAGTATATATGCAATTCATAAATGGCAATGAGGAAGAAACATTGGAAGGATATCTGGTCGTGTTAAACTCAGTCTGAGCTTTAATACCCAATCATCTTGAACTATCTTTTAGATTCGATTAGGAAAAACAGGACTCCTGAACTCACCAATATGCTCCATTTGCTTCAAATCTATTTAAACAACCTTGTTAATTTGTTTGTTTCCTCAGCACCAGATCAATTTGATTATGAGAGTTAAGCCAACAAATAAATATGCAATAAATATGGTAAGGGAGATAAACGGTCGAGTGAAAACTTTAGTCTGAACTTTAAAACGCCATCAACTCTAACTATCTTTTCTTTACTTTTAATTAAACAGGACTCTTGAACTCACCGCCGTGCTTCACTCGCTTCAACAGGATTTACACAGACTTGTTTATCTGTCTGTTTCCCCAGCACCAGATCAATTTGATTATGGGCGTTTAGGCAAGTAATTTCCTAAACAAAGTCATTAAGAGATCATTTAGCCACCGAAAAACAATTGGGAGGGGGAGGGAGTCGGGTGTAGAGGGTGCTATGTCTCTGTGGACCCCATTAAACGACACCAAAATGATCACTTCTGTGGATAACTTAGATAACAAATCACCAGCCAATCAGTCAATAACGTCTAGTGTCTTTAGCACAGCCCTAATGAGGACTGATATAGCACTGATACAGAGGCAAGCCGGGGGAAAGAACAGAGGCTTAGAAGAGAAGCGGGAACAGTTTAATGGCGGGGAAGAGATGTGAGGAATTCATGCAATGTGGAATTGGGTGCTGTTTATACAGATGTAGCAATGACCCTCTGCTGCAGGGCCCAGGGGGTTCAGACACTTTGCATGCAAATAGAACACCTCGTAGCCAAATGAAGGTGTTAATATGCTCTAAATGCTTTTGTCACTTATTACAGTTGCCATGGCTCTCCGTTCATCCAGTCCTCAATCTACTGTTTTCCTTTTTAACATCTCATTACGCATTGCTTTATCTCTCCCTCAGCACCGGTGTTGTCGACATGTACGTTCTGGATGTGTTTTTCGTTACACAGCCATGAGGTACTTGCACAAAAAATTGGACGGTTGAAAGGAAACCCAAGATTATGCGTGTCCTAGATATAGGAACATGGTAATGAAATAGAGCAGCATTAATGGGAAAACTGTGGTGGTTAGGGTATTTATGATTAAAATATTTAACAGCGTGGCTGTCAATTATTATACTGAGGTATCAAAACTGGTAGCACAGTATCAAGCACGCAATAGTCTGATATAATCCCTTTTCACACTGGTTGCCGAGCTTTAAAAAGCCTGAACGATAAAAGGGAAAGGAAAATTCAAACATGGTCTGTTTCATGAAAATCCTGTAATGATGCCTGTTACAAGGCAAATTACATTTGAATACTCACCAAAAATATTATTTTGTAATATGATTTAATATAAAAGGCTGCTGTTTTCAGTGGAAAAGTG